GGGTACAATTTCACAGATAAATGTTATAACCATCGTAACAACGGCACGCTTCAACTTGCATCAATCTCTGTCTGTTCGGGCTCGTGAAAAACAAACGAGACGACGAAAAAATTTTTCCCCAACCTCTTAATTTAAATGGAATTCATTTCAACAAATAACTCGCAAACAGTTTAACGAAACAGTTTCGTTCAGTAATTGCCCGAACTTAAATCTTACGTGTTACTTGAAATCCGATCTTTTTATAGTTGCTCGGTGGACAGAAGTAAACAGGAAAAAGTTCGCATATCGTAATTCCCACAAATTTCTTAATAAAGCTTTTGCATCAAACCACGATGAAAGAGAAAAACTCGACTGAGATTTCTTCACTTCAACTAAACCTATACTGCAAAAAAGGTTGGAGTTTACTCGTCACTACAGCGAAACCTCGCGAACAAACAAATCAATGTATCGATTATATCAACATTCATCTACGTCAAGAGAATATCAACTGTTTATAATCTCTGGTCTACGATTGTTTAGTTTTCTTACCTTAATGTAATTGAAAAGAGTTGAATTTTTGTAGATTATCTGTTGATGGCCAATGGAAATCTGGAGTAGGCAATAAGCTGACAATATCCGAAAATCGATTTGAAAGATAAGCTCAACACAACAACTACTGACTGTGTTCCGCGAAGTAAAACTGTTTTATATATAGTTTTCTCAGAAATTTCTGAGCGGGCCGGGAACCTCAGTCCGCAAATTTGATAGGCTCGTTACAAACTCGTACCCATTTCACCTTTTTGAGTCACGGATTATGGGCGATCAATTTACCGTCGAAGAAATATAATGGCTGTCCGCTTTGACGTTCATTTTATCGGTCTAATACTAGTGCAACCTTATTTTCGATTACCCATTTTGTCAATACTCTGATTTGCGGCTCTCGTCTCAACCCTTTACTTCTTGTCTTAAAGTAAGGTTATTATGGTGTGAAAAATCGAGTCAGCCAAGTGTATTCTTAACGATCGCACAAATAAATGACGTCACCATCATAGAAGGGCAGGCCTCAACTTGCATAAATTTCTGTTTGTTCAGGCTTGTGAAAAACAAGCGACACGACAAAAAAAATATTTCTCAACTTCTCGATTGAAATTGAATTATGTTCAACAATTTAACCCGAAAACAGTTTAACGAAACAATTTCGATAAGTAGTTGCGCAGATTTACGCGTTACTAGAAATCTTACGGGTTACTTGAAATGCGGCCTTTTATGGTTGATCAAGTAGGTAAACAGGAAAAAATTCGCACATCGTGATTCCCACAAATTTCTTAAGAAAGCTTATACATCTAATTACTATGAAAGAGAAACTTATTGTAAGTAAGTGTGAACGGTTTCACACTTACAATAATGCCTCAGTTTGAAAGTTTTGCGACTCAACTGCGCGTGTTTTGGACCCGGAAATAACTCAACCCACCAAGGGTACAATCTCACAAATAAATAACATCACCATCATAGCAACGCACGCTTCAACTTGCATCAATATCTGTCTGTTCAGGCTCGTGAAAAAACAAGCGACACGACAAAAAAAGTTTTTCCCAACCTCTTAATTTAAATTGAATTCATTTCAATTTCAATTAAACTCGCAAACAGTTTAACAAAACAGTTTTGGTCAGTGGTTGACCTGACTTACGCGTTTCTTGAAATCCGACCTTTTTATGGTTGTTCGGTGGAAAGAAATAAACAAGAAAAAATTCGTTCATCGTGATTCACACAAATTTCTTAATGAAGCTTATGCATCAAACCACGATGAAAGAGAAAAACTCGACTGGGATCTCTTCCCTAAAACTAAATCCATACAGCACTTAAAAAGATTGGAAATTACTCGTCACTACAGTGCAAACTTGCAAAACAAACAAACAAAATTTATTTAACAATTTATCAACACTTATCTAAACAAAAGGTAGCAAGCTTTTAACTTCAGAAAACCAAAATTCGACGGCTACCGTTTGTTTTGTCTCATGTTGTTCCCTTGTGCTTGACCTATTTTAACCTTCTTACGGCAATTAGCCAAATAAACTCCATACCGGCACTTTATTTTGGAATTTTGTTATTTGATGCTTGACGCAACTGAACAACAACTTTGCAGAATGGCTGCCTGTCAGGATCGAGAATCGTCGGTCTTACGCGTTACTTGGAATCCGACCCACTTATAGACGATCGGTGGACCGAACAGGAAAAAATTCGTTCATCGTGATTCCCACAAATTCCTTAAGAGAGCTTATGCATCTAATCACGATTAAAGGGGAACTTATTTTAAGTGTGAACGGTTTCACAACTCACAATAATACCTCAGTTTGAGGATTTTTGCGACTCAACTGCGCGTGTTTTGGTCCTGGAAATAACTCAACTTGCCAAGGATACAATCTCACAGATAAATGACACACCATCCTTTAAGCAACACCCTCAAAGAGCGCATAAAAGTGCATATGAACAGCCATATCAGCATTGACAATCGCTTGCAGAATTCACTCGTTATACCTTTTTCCTTCCCCCCTCCCCCCCCGCCATGAAATTCTTTCAGTCCAACGCTTTCCAAAACTTTTGATCAGAAGTTTATCTTATGTACGCAGAGTCAGTAGGAAATGGAAAAGCATGTTACAGACAGGAAATTATCTCATGATGGGGCTTAAGCCTGTCTTTTCTCAGGAACACACTTATTATTAAATAGAATATCTTGGAAACAGACCACGAAAATTACCAACAACTCATCTTTGCTAATCATGTGAAACTTTTAGACTGCTACAGAATACAAATAGACAAGTGAGTCTATTGGTCTCACTGAATGAACAGTTTCACACTCACAATGATATCTCAGTTTGAGAGTTTTGCGACTCAACTGCGCGTGTTTTGGACCCGGAAATAACTCAACTCGATCGCCAAGGGTACAATCTCACAAATAAATGACATCACCATCATAGCAACGGCACGCTTCAACTTGCATCAATCTCTGTCTGTTCTGGCTTGTGAAAAACAAGCGACACGACGAAAAGAAATTTCTGAGCGGGCCGGGAACCTCAGTCCGCAAATTTGAAAGGCTCATCACACACTCGTACCCAGTTCACCTTTTTTGAGACACGGATCACGGTTAGGCGATTAATTTACCTTAGAAGAAATACCATGGCTGTTCAAATTGAAATAGGGCGTGATGCAACGGAGAGCTTTTTCAACGAAAAGTTTCCAAACTTTTTTCAGATGATTCAAACGATTTTGGCATTGCTGATGTAGGACCTTCCAATGTTAGCTGATCCAGAAAAAAACTTTTGTTACCGTTTCAATACAAAACTTTACATCAAGCTACTCTTTCGGAAAAAATGTTAGAGGAAGCAAACGATTTTGGCATTGCTGATGTAGGACCTTCGAAGTTAGCTGATCCAGAAAAAAACTTTTGTTACCGTTTCAATACAAAACTTTACATCAAGCTACTCTTCCGGAAAAAATGTTAGAGGAAACTTAAGTGGATTTGTAGCCCTCAATTACACTCGTTCATCACCTTTGAAGCGAGAAGATGCCACTTGAATACAAGAAATAAGGAGGCACTTGTTTGCAAATGTTTCTCTGACCTAAGATCACCTTATACAAGCTATAGGGTATGTTTAATCGAATATGTTTGAATCGTTCCCTGGTTGCATCATTTTCGTACGCTTTTTCGCCCTCTTGAGGACCAGTCGTTTATTTATAGCCGGTGGGGGGGATCAGTCGTCGCCAAAAACGGGAGGAGGGACTATAGAAATTGGCTGCCAATTATTAAGCATTAAGCATTGAGATGGGGGGGGGATGGGTAACATAAGAATATTACAGAGCCTGAAGGGAGGATCAGGTAAATTTTAATCGTAACTCAAACAAAATCCTCCAAATCCCTTCCCTTTGACTTTGCGCCTTCACTAGAGATGTTGGGGTGTTCAGTGTTAGAGGAATGGAACGACTTTTACAGTCTTATTTCCTCGGCTGTGCAGCAAAATCAAATTACTTCCAACATTCAGTTGAAAATTGCTGAGGTTTCAATACCTGTGAAAAATCTCTAAAAGAGTGGGAAGTGCACTGATAACATTCTCATCAAGTGTTCATGGAAAGGAAACATGGATTTTTTGGATTAAGTAATCATTATCGTGTGTCGAGGACTAAACCTTAGGCCGTGTTCTACTGATTTTAACCGTTTCATCCCCAACCATTATCTGCTGACAACCGAAGCCTGACTTCAAAGAGCCTGGGTAGGCGACAGCGGTCGCTACCTACGCTTTTTCACCTAACTCAAACTGGTTCAGAACCGGTTGAAAACGTTTATGGACCAATTCAACTGTGCTTTAAAAGGCTTCTCCCTTAAGAATACGACCTTAAAAGCGGCTAACTCCCCACATTACAACACCAAATAAACAGACAAATGGCAGATCAATGAATATAGACCAGCGTTATATTCTCCTTAACTGAAATAAGAAATCAGCGGGGAAAAAGAGCCTTTCGATATTTGAGATTACAAGCATTGTTAACAGTAACAGCATACAAAAAGCCTAACAAAATTATGAAAAGCTATAAAACTGTTAATCGTTTGGACCCTTTACTATACTCGTCATAAGATTCTAAGACATCAACATGTTTTCTTGAAAGTTACTTGTTTGGACTCTTTACTATACTCGTCATAAGACTCTAAGACATCAACATGTTTTCTTGAAAGTTACTTGTTTGGACTCTTTACTATACTCGTCATAAGACTCTAAGACATCAACATGTTTTCTTGAAAGTTACTTGTAAGACAACGAAAGCTGAATGTTGAACTTCAGAGCTTGCAGTTCTCGAAATCTAGTATTACTCTGTAACGCTAACGTACTACTGAAATGCTTCTGCGAAATTACTTGAAATACCTTCACTGACTGCATCCATTGCGTAATTAAGGGTTTTTTTTTTCAACTTTGAGTTACAAAAACAGCAAGCCTTCCACAATGGCTGAGATGCACAGGACTATCAATCCCATCCTCGCAAGTGTCTCGCTGGCGCTAGACTCAGACTCCATGCTTGTGATAAACTTCAGGATTGTAGTTGAGCCTTCCTGGGGTTTGTACTTATCTACAAAGGATGGCAAGAGTTCTCCAGTTGCTTTGTCGTAAATCTTCCAGAGCCAGTCCTTGGTAGAATCCTCGAAAAAAACGAAACAGAAAGCGTTACTGCGGCGATAATCTATACTCAATCTAACTATTCTGACGTACGTAAATGTAATATTTGCGCTACCCCCTCCCCACCTCCCCACCATTTTTAGTGATGCCAAAATGGTGCGTTTTGGCCATCGTGCACCTTCCTTGTGGAATTTGAGCGTAGGGTGGGGGTGTTTGTTCCATTTTGATCTGTCCTAAGGCTTGAGGCTTCGCGGTTCAAGCAGCCTTTGTAATGACCAACTCGGACTACGAATTTGCTTCATAACTGCACTAACATCTTGAAGCGAAAAATAGTGGAATCCGTTAATCTAGGTTATGTAAAATAACCGGCGGGAAATGTCCACTGATGACATACCTCTTTAGTACCGTTCATGGCAGTGATAAAATGTCCCTGTCCGCCATAGTATGTGGATGAATACTTATTAAAAGGGCCCTCGGGATTTTTATCTGCAACTTTGTTTATGATTTCTGTAAGTGTCGTGCCTCTGGCGACTTTGGTGGTGTAGGGAGGAGGGATAGGCTTCTTGATAACGTCCGGATTCCACTCCATTCCAATCGTAACGGTGATCGTAGAGGGTGGAACCTAGAACGATATGAAGCACATTAGTACATGCAAACTTCTCAAATATTGTCCCACCGTTTCCCGCATGTATTTTTGGGGAGCAGGGATGGTGTAGCGGTGAGAGTTCTCGCCTCCCATTTCTGTGGCCTGGCTTCGATTCCCGAACCTAATGTCACATGTGAGTTGATTGTGTCGTTGATTCTCGTCTTTGCTTCAAGGTTTTTTTCTCCAGGTCCTTCGGTTTTACTCCCTCCTCAAAAATCAACATTTCAAATTTCAATTCAACCCCAGTGGAAACGGAGAACGATAAGAGCCACCTAGTGAAATGTCCTTTGCTAAATTCTCATTTTGATTTTGTATCTTCCCTGTTTATGTCTAGCAATGTAGGTCTGAGGATTTTTAAAATAAATAGATTGAACACTAGTACGTGTGACTTCGGTAAAACAATGAAAAGGCGGATCACAGACGACTGGAGAAGTGGCGGTGATTCGAAATTTGTCATAAGTCTTCAATTTGTTACGGAATACCACATCAAGGGAAAAGCATTTAGTTACATCGAGTTCCTACTTAATAAACAGTTGAGTTAAAATTTCTAATTTTTCTACTTTTCTCCCCTGAAAACTATGCCGATCTCTTGTCATTATCATTCAGAAAGTCCTGAGAGCCAAAGAAGCATATCTTATTTTGGGTAGATTCGTTCTTCATGCAAGAAGTTATCTCTATTTCGTTGCTCTGATTATGCCACGCTAACAAGTCGTGATAGAAAATGGCTGAACGTGGCGTTAATAACGAGTTACGTGCTCTTATCTGACCGCGTGAAAATTGAGCACATACAACATCGCCCAGAATTGTCCTGATCCAGCCCACCACGTCAAGGCAGAAAGTGCCGATCAATTTGAAGCCTCAAAATCCCCCCTCTTTTCGGGCAACCCACGGGCATTTGTCTGTTGTCCGTGCCTGGGGATCGGGAACTGTAACTTGCCTCGGTAGGGTGGGGAATTTGATCCGGAACTGTCAAGTCTTTCCATCGGAATAAACTTTTAATATGGAGGGGGATTGCCTGGGGGTATGTCCCCGTAAAAATTAATTAAAGAAAACTTTCGCGATTGGAATTGTTGCCTTTTGCCTTTCTTTCCTTTTTTACGCTATTTCTACTTGCTTCATTTTTTCACAAAGTTTATCAAGAGGCCATGGCATTTATGTACTGAACCCAGTTTCCACATCCTAACATATCGAGCGTGCACTGGGTACTAACCGGAATATTGGAATGGCTTTTACAGCTTCCACTAGCATTCGCATTATTGCCATGACTTGAGTGACTTGGAAATTGAGTGAACCGAAAGAGAGTTGTGGAGCCGTTGACGGGCACGTAAGAGCTCACTCCACATTTAAGTGACGCTCCGGTTTGCTCATCATTAATCATCCAGTACGATTTTGCGCTAGGATCGTTTTCTATGCCATTTATGGTGGTGATGAAATAACCCATGACGCTGTAGTACGTGCTTTTGTATTCGTCAAAGGGGCCTTGCTTCTCGCTGTCAGCGGCTTTGTTCATGATGTCAATCAGAAGAGTTCCGTTGGGAACCTTTGTGGTATAACTCGCTGGAATCGGTTTATCAATGACTGTGACATTCCATTCAAGCTTAAGGGTGACTGTGATCTGAAAGGAATGAACAGTCATGAGTAAGTGTTAAAGCAATTTTCAATTTCTTATCGAAATTATTTATTGTAAGGACGTTATCAAACATGTAACAAATTTTGCTCTTGAGCGGTCATTGATTCCCAGTGATTTCGTCTTTTGTTCTATTTTACCGCTTCAATTGCTTTAGTTTTCGTTTACAACATTCGCCCATGTGTCGTAGGATATCTCAACGACATGTAAAGCTTGGGATCACAAAAGTATGATAAATAATCGATTAAGAGGATAAAACGTTTGTCTGAAACTCGAATAGCATGTTCAACCACGCAACACTTTCAGATGATATTCATCTGGCCCAACGTCTAACATTTTCCACCAGTTTAACAGTGTAACACCTTTTTAAAGCGATGAACTGTCACGAATGAAAGAAGACAGCTCATAAACGAGGTATTTACTGATTGTTTACCATATTTTCTAAGATTTGAAGGCTCGGCGTGAACTTAATTTTGATACGTATCAACTTACCTCGGAAGTAGGTATTGGGTTCGCCATCGAGGCTGAAATTAGAAATAAATTCCATCTTTTTACCAAGAATTTATAATTCTAAGTTAGAAACAGAAATGAGCAAAAAGCGAAAAACCGCCTCTGTAACCCCTATTTTTTTCGACTTTAAAATGGTTGGCAGGACAAATTTACACCTCGTGAAAATCGTGGAAGATTTTACTGAAGCAACTTGGACAGAATTAGAATCGAAGACAAATTACCGGATTACTGCTAGTGAGCACCTTCCTTGTGGCGTTTTAGCTCAAGAATTCAAACTTCCATGTAAATATTAACTACAGAAAACAAAAGTTCGACCATTGTTTACGAAATTTTGGAAAATTATAGTGATCTTGAAGGGAGAATACATTGAAAATTCTCAATGGAAACATAACGCCGGCGCGCGCGTCATAATCAGGCCAAAACTCTATAGAGCCACCTTCAGGACAAACGAGGCGACGCGTTGTTACGAATGAGTTCTGCAACAAGCCACTTCGTGCGAATTGCATCAAAACAAGTCTGAGCAAATCATTTTAAACCTGCGTCATCGATCAAGTTCCAGTTTGACTTTCTTGGTGGATAGAAGCTTTGTCGCAAGGACAGTAAAATTCTGTCTATCCTACGAGGATTTTCACTACAAGATGTCTCCGCTAACTATTCAGGCGCAGCATTTTAAGTCTCAAGTGGACCCGTTTTACTCTCTTTCTTACGGTAACCGGGCGAATATTACTTCATGTTTATATGGGAACATATAGGCTGCTTTTAATCCCACCTGCAATCCAGCTGAGTATACTTTCTATTTTGTAAAAACTCGGCTGGAATACTCAATACACGAAATGAATCAGGTGCAAGCCTGATAACTGGGAGAAGTGTTTACATGCGTAAACTTCTAGCTCGTTCACTGATAACGGGATGACCCGACTTCTGATGAAAAAAGGAAAGAGATTTGAAAAAAGACATCGGAGAGCGGGCCAGCCTTGTTGACTAAGCTCAGATAAATGGTTACTCGGTTCAGACAAATGAAACTAAGGAGAATAGGTATAGATTAGATTTCCTTGATATCCCACAGGAGATTAAAATTTACTAGAGTCCCTTGAGGTTCACCCGACTGAAACTAACGCGATATAGTTTGTTTGTTTTTTTTTTTGTTTTATCCACCGTCTGCAAGTAAACTTTTAAAAAGTGTAATAAAATAAACGAGAAAATGTCTGCTTCTTAAATGATTCTAGTTAAGTTGGGTTGAAAAATCAGTCGTAAACAGTTTTTGTCCTTTACCATATGACTCTTTTCAATATTCATTTCAAATTACGGCTTGTGTTTGTTTTGTTTGCTGATGTTCACTCGTTGTTGACCTATTTTAGCCCTCATACGGCAATTGGCCAAATAACCTCCATACCGACACGTTCTTTCCAAATTTATTTTAAGAATTTTGTTATTCAGTTGTTGCTTCACGCAACTAAACAACAACTTTTCAGTAATGGCTGCTCGTCATGATCGAGAATCCTCCGTCAACGACCATTTTGGTAAATTGTTCAAGTTTTCCCAAAGATATCTTTTGGTAAAATATTTATAGAAAAAAAGTGTAAAGGTTGCGGGAAGTCTTAAATTTTTTAGAAATCGAAAATTTGAAAACGCAGTTTAAGTGTGGTTTCCCGCTTGGCAAATTGTCCTAAATTTACTGCGAAAACCAAGCCCCTTTAAAGGCTTACAATGAATTTAATTTATCCTGTTGTTTACGCGGAGCCAGTAGAAAGTGGATAAGCATATTGCAGACAAGAAATTATCCCATCATTTGGTAAAATATCTTGGAAACAGGCCAAAAAAATTACCAAGAACCCATCTTTGCTAATCATGTGAAACTTTTAGACTGCTGCGGAATACAAAAAGGCAAGTGAGTCTCTTAGTCTCACTAAGTAAACGTATGAACACTCACAACAATACCTCAGCCGGTTTGAAAGTTTTACGACTCAACTGCGCGTGTTTTGGACCCGGAAAGAACTCAACTTTTCAAGAATTAGCACAATTTACTCGCCAAGTGTTTAAATTATGTTATGACGTTCGACAGTGTTTTTATCCCATTTCGCTCTACGGAGTGGATCCAATTATCAATTGATGAAAACGAACTCGTTCATTCACTTTTTGCGTTTTTCGTTATTGATGGGTTCGAAACATTCGCTCATTCTACCCTCAAAACAGCTTAAATTCCTAACTGAAAAGAAGAGAAATCTGGTAGCCTAACATGATAAAACTTTTAGTCGTGCAACATCAAGTTTCATTCACCTTGCATGGTGCAAATGATTGTAAAGAAGAGAGACAAACTGATCCAGGCTGTAAACGATGTCTTCATCTTGGCTATTTGCAGACCAACTTGATAGATAGCGTCACACTGGGACACCTGAGAGGTCGAGCTGGCGGTTACTTCCTTTACGACCATAAAACCGGCAAAACCGGAATTCAAAAGTAAATGACAGTACCCATAGCAACGTTTCAACATTCCTGTCTGTTCAGGCTTGTGGTTAAGAAGCCATTCTATACTCAAATATTTTTTAACTCAAAGTCAAGATAACAGTTAAATTTTAGTTTAGTTGGTTCGATGTACAAATCTACGCTAAGGTTGGAAAAGTCCTCAAAACACCTTCGGTGAGTACTCACTTGAAATTGAGCTTCTACTGCGATTGGAAGCCAGTTGTGTAGCGCAAACTGGTGCAAACAAACAAATGCTCAACTCTCACAACATGAAAATCCTTACCTCATTTACTTGCAATAACTTTGCTTACCGTTTGAAACCGAGTAGATTTGACCTTTTGTCAGATTAATGGTTGACGCTTGGAAATCAAGAGTAGCTAACAGGTTGAAAATTTCCGAAAATTCATCCAGAACATTAGCTCAACGTAACGATTGACTGCGTTCCGCGTAGGTAAACAGAGATAGTCTTCTCAGAAATATATGGGTGGGCCGAGAAACTCAGTCGTTGAATTGAATTGGCTTATCAAACACTTGTACCCAGACCAGCTTTTTGTGACACGAACAACGGTCAGGCGGTCAATTGAACTGCGAAGAAATATAACGGCTGTTCAAATTGTTCCTGGGTGAATGCATCATAGAGTTTTTTGTTGATAATTAAGTGAAATAACGAGGAAAACGTTTTAAAATATTTCTCTGACATTAGATTTCCTTCTACAAAATAATGAATACCTTTCATTCTGATAGTATAATTTTCGTGCATTTTCCACTAGTTATTACGTAGGTACTTTTCCGTAGGCCCCATTGTTGGATATAAGGTTTTCCCGTCCTTACGGCAGCTGCGAAATTTCCGCTCTTGAAGCCGATGTACGTAAGAAAGTAGTCTTGCGTTTAAGCTGGGTAATCGTTTACCTTCCCATATCGCCGACAGTATAATTTTCCTTCGCCAACAGTCGACGAAATCTGGGGCCTGTTTACATGGATGGGGGGGAACCCCAGGTAGGTGAGGTAACTCACTTACGTGGGTTACCTGCCTGTTCGTATAATCTATTATTTTACCTTGATCACGTTTGAATTAGGTTTTCTTGCGGTTTACCTATTTTGACCCTCTTCCAGTAATCAATGAGTTTCCGGTAGTCGGATCCTTGTGTTTGAGCAAAGATTTCTGGGATCACCACAGGGCAAACATTGCAAGTGGTGACCATGCAGGAAATAAATGGCGAAAGATTGTTTCGACGTCCATGAAAAAAACAGTTTTGGTGAGGTCATCATCGCTTTTTCGCCGCAGTTTTGTCAAAAATGGATTAAGATAGTGTTGATACGAGGGAAGTGTAAGTTTTGTTCGAACAACCACGAAATATGTTATAAAATAGACCGATAAACTCTCCGAGCGTAAGATTTATTGAAATCGTCACCACGTAATGGTCTTGAAAAATTAAAAAATTAATCATACATCGCTAGGAAATGTCGTTGTCAGAAGAGATGGAAATTGTTTTTACCGAGCTGTTGTTCTTTGGAAGGATGAATTAAGCGATGAGAAACATGAGAACTGCTCAGGTCATATATTTCCTCGATGATGTCATGGATTTTAATATGGCAGTCGTCACAGAAAGTAAATATAACTTGATGATCTTTTTTACCTTAGCTAAAAGAGCAATCACAAGGCAAAGACAAGATTATTGGTCAAACATACTTTACGCAAATGCTCCAGCAAATTTTACCAGAGTGAGCAAAACTAGCCCTTCCCAAACAAACGCTCAGTAATAGTGTAGTTCGATCGTCTGGGTGAGTGTACTCCTGAGAAAGACCGTGGTGACTGACTTCCTGTTAGGCCTTTTGCTGACGGCGTGTGCGCTGCAAGTGAAAGAGCGTACAGAAAACACGCTTCAACTTTTAAATGGTAGAATAATCCTCTGTCGTCTTTTTTAACTCCGGCAGAACATAGCTCTCTCTTCAAAGAAAAAAATTTCTCCTCTAATTAAGTTTCATGATGCGCCGATAACAACTTTTAAGACATTTCTGCAAGGTACAGTTTTGTTTCATTTACGAGTCATCCTGAAATTATTGTGAGATGTTCATTATTACTTCCAACAGTGGACTAAAC